TTATTTCTTTCAAAGCTGTGGGAAAATATTACAGGGGAACTTCAACCTACTCCATCTCTGTTGCCTGGATAACGGAGAATTACCCATGATTTCTAGTGATGTGCCCTGCCTCTACTGTGAGACCATGAGTCCCCCAGGACCAGATCTTTCTGCTCAGATTAAGCCACCAGAAAGGAAAATTACCTCTATGAGACCAAATTCCATAGGGCAGAGCTTCCCCTTCAGTGTGAGGCCTGTAGGGGCAGGACACAGTCTGCTCTTTCCTCATTCCCAGAACTTTTCCTGCTATCCCAAGGCTTTCTAAGCCCTTGCAGATGTTCTGTGCTCTTATTGTGATGGAGTTTATTGGTATGTAGTCTCTAACACTTCATCTTGCTTCTTTTCTACAGTTAGAAACAAATAAGAAATTGGTTGTGGCTACAAACCCCCAGGTTGCTTGTTTATTATCAGAGCCAGTCAAATCCAAGAAGAGCAGACAGCATTCCATTTCACAAATGTAGTACCAGTAAACACTCAGAGATACTCAATTTTGTCACTGTTGACAAAACTAACAGAGAACTACTAAGGATGTCCCTGTCACAGGGGAGCTCCCAGGTTTCACAGGCAGCTGTAAACAAAAAGTATTCCTTGGTCCTTTGACCTTCACATCTACACTTTTCATTGTTCCTTACCCCCAAAATATATTCTAGATGTCTGGCACCACTCAAATTTCAAACACTCTGCTTCTTTACTCAATAGACACACTCTTACTTAATAGTGTGGGGTTTAGAAAGCAGTGTCACTGTGAGCTCTGGTTCCTGAGGAGAGAGAGGGGATCAAACTCCAGCTCAGTCATGGGCTCATCAGGAAGCAATTTTGCTAAATATGCTTTTTGTATCTGCCAGATTTTCCCCTAAGAAACATTTCCAAAAATGAAGAAAATGAAGTGTTTAAACCAGGTAAGATTTCTGCTGCAGCTTCAAGAACTGAGAGTGCATTACATCTAATTACATTAACAATCTCCTGGCAATAAATACCATATAAACAAAACTACAGCGCTGACAAGAACCTATCTAATTCAAAAACATTTCCTCATTTAGTAACCATTCAAAAGGTACTTCCTGAGCATTATTTTGTGCAAGGTACTTCCAAGAATATAGAGATGAATATGACCTAATTTCTACCTTAGAGGTTCATAATTTGGTAGCTCAGATATTCATTCATTTTCTTCATGAACTCAACAAAGAATAGTAAAGCTCTGTTATGTATCAGGCATAGTTTTAGGGACTGAAGATGAAGTAGTAAAAACAAAAAAAAAGGACAAAGTCTTTACTCTCAAAGAGTTTACACTGCTGTGGAGATAGGTGACCAAGAGATAGGAAGTTAAAAAAAAAATAACTAGTGCTAAGTGCTATGATGAAAATAAAACAGGTTAACAGAATAAAGAAGGTCTTGGTGGGAGTGACTACTTTAGACAGAAAAGAGGCTTCTTTGAAAAGGTGGCATTGAACGATGAACAAGAAGCAAGCCATGCAAAGATCTGGGGCAGGCCTTGACATGAAGGGTAAAAGTCTTAAGATAGTAACAGGTTTGTTTTTTCACTTGATTTGTAGTTTTCCTGGGTATAGATTTCTGGGTCAAAATAACTTTCATTAAGACCTTTGAAGGGATGATCCTACTAATTTCTAGGAACCAGTTGTATGGGTAGGAAATCTGGTACCAACCTAATTCTCAATTTTTGGTTGGTATCTTAATTCTTATCCTTGTGAAAATTTTGAGGGACTTCTCTATACCCTTGAAGCTCTAAAAATTATGATGCTTATTGGACACTTTAGATCTGAAACTCATATCCTTTTTGAATTCTAGGAAATATTCTTTTATTATTTCTTGACAATGTTGTCCCCTCCATTTTCTCTTCCTGATACTCCTGGTAGATGAATTTGGGGGCTACTGGTTTGGTTCTCTATTAAAAAGAAGTATTTATCTCATACATTTTATCTCTTTACCTTTTTATTAGAGAGTTCTTTGACTCTTTATTTCAGTCCTTTTATTGGCTTTTTAAATTTCAGCTATTTTTACTTCTCGAAATTCTTTTCTATTGCTCCTAGATTGCTTTTTTCTTTTTCCATTTTTTAGCAACCCTATTCTTACTTTATTTATGCAATTGTGTCTTCTAAGAATAGTAATAAGAATTTTTGGAAGTTCTTTTCCTTTCTCTGAATTGTGTCTTTTCTGGGGTCAGTTATTCATTTGATTTGGTTTCTTTTGGTTAATTTTGTTTCCCCAGTAGGCCACTCTCCTGAATGGGAACATGGAAGCATGTGTTTTGTGTAGGTAGGCAGTATGTGTTATTGACGGAGCTCACCTTCAGGTGCACAAGGAGCATACAAGCACATTTAAGCCCCATAACTACCTACCTACCTACCTGCCTGCCTACATGAGTTATGCTATTTATTTATTTGAGAGAGAACAAGAGAGTGTGTGCGCATGTGTTGGGGAGGAGCAAAGGGAGAGAGAGAGAATCCCAAGCAGACTCCCTGCTAAGTAAGAAGCCTGCTGCAGAGCTTGATCCCAGGATCCATGAGATCATGACCTGAGCCAAAATCACAACCAACTGAGCCACCCAGGTACCCTGCCCCTTGAATTTAAAATGAGTTTTACTCTAAAGTGATATGATACCCACATTAGAGGCACTAGCGCTCTGAGAAAGGTTGTTAAATTTCCTTAGAAAGCAGTTCTCTTGTCTGAGACTGGAAGGCAAATACATTTGTTATTGCTATATACATGCTATAGGGGTGGCAGGGTGGTACAGAGGGCCAATTGTTGCCCACGTTGTTTTATGGGCAGTTTTAAAATTAACTATCCCAATCATTATCCCACCTACCACTTCTGTTCTCTATACCTGCTGATGCTAGCTTGGAGCTCTACCAAGCTCTATCAAGAAGAATGCATTTGCATTGAAGCTTTCACTACTCTGGTTTATCTATCAATATCATCGATCTACTTTCTGCCTTCCAAACACTCAACACCTTGGGTCTGCTGATGGTTCATCCCCTGTTAGGGCAGTTAGGTATTTACTTCCCATTTGTACTTCTTTACAGTCATTTCATTAAGCATATCAATGTCCTTCTTAAACTGGATGCCCAAAACTGAACGCAGTAGCCCAGATAATATCTCATACTTTCTGAAGGAAAGATTGCATGAATGACCATAGAAATATAGGAATTTATAGCAACTACTCTGCCAGCTTAGCTGCCCCCAGGATTTCCACTGACTCTCTGTTGCCTCTATCTTGTGAGAACCTGAGCAGCGAACTACATTCTCTCTTTCTGGAGACCCTTACCGCAGGTACCTCAATACTCCTGCTCTAATCTGCACTGGAGTTCTCTAGGCTTGCTATTCACCTATCTTCCTAGGACTCTCTTTCACTTGTCCCCATGTTTTCGGGCTTCTATAATCTTTTTTCTTCGTTTACTTTCTTGTTTTGCTTAAGTATACATACTAGGAGCTTCCTAAGAGGAGAGACATGATGAATGAATAAAATTTTTTGAGGCTTTACAATATGGATATTTCTTTATACTTGAATTTTATCAATAGTTTCCCTAGATTTAGAATTACAGGTTACAAGTAATTTTCTCACACACCTTTGAAGGCATTGAGATTTATCTTCTGCTGTTGCTGTTGAGAAGGTTAATGGTATTCTAATTTTTGATCCTGGTATATGACCGTTTATTCTTCTCCGGAAGCTTATGGGGTTTGCTTTTTAGTTTTAAAATTTCTTCATATGTGGCAATCTGCCTTTTAAACAGGACTTGTCCCTCTAACAGATGTCAAGTATTGTCACTGACCTTCAGATAGGTAAATAAGTAGGTGAACCTTCCTGGGCATATGGGAGACATCTTGTTTTGAAAATAAGTCTAGGCTAAATGACCTAACTTAGTACCTAAAAATACATGTTCTTAATACTGTCAGAGGCGTATTTACCTATGTCACCTTCCTGAATTCTCAAATGTGATTGTTTTCCTCATCAAGAAAACAAGAAATGTCATTTTGTTTCGATTGCTGAAAGCTATGCAGACAATAGAAAGAAAAAGAGTGTATACTAGCTTCTGGTCTCAAAGCTGAATGAACTTTCCTAATTTTCTAAAACCCCATTTACTAAATCCAGAGGATTTAGGGAAAAAAAAACCAGTGATATTTCCCATAATTAATAAGGGAGAAGAGGCAGTTTATAATTCAGATATTAATGAGAGATATACAGAAAGAAAAGACATTTTTGAATTTTCAGTCTAAGCAATAGAGTAAAAATAAAAATGAAAAGTCATTGAATTAAGTATAGGCACCACTGAAATTGCTGTTATGCAAACAAGTCTATATCTAATAAGAATGAAGGTAACCTGTATAGGGTAGCACAGAAATCTTTAAGTTTCTGTTACCAAAGCTATTATTGTCTGTTGAGTGCTTTTCAAATTTCATTTCTTAGCAGCAGAATCTATATTCCAACTGAAATTTTATAGAACAGATAAATATCAAGCTGCTCTTCTTGAAGTAGAATATCAGGATGAGGGAGCCAGAACAAAACTCACTTGATCTTTTCAATCCTCCCTAGGACAGACCTTAGACTCCTCTAAGGAAAAAGTTTGAAAATCATCCAGTGTTAAGTAAGGTGTTCTATTAGTCTAAGTAAAGTTTTCTTAAAGTGCTCATGAGTAATATAGGCTATGAGGAGATAAAAATGTGTCAGTGTCTAAAACAGAGTCCTTGATCCATCCCAGAATCACTAATCAGAGCATGAAATCTTAAACAAATTGTGACTGTTGTCTACAACAGAGGTGTAAACTAGAGAGAGACTCCCTGTCAACCAGCTCTGTTCTTTTCTGCTTCTGGCATTAGGAAATAGCATACCCAAAACTGCTTGTGTTTTTCAAACAACTAAAATCAGTGGGAAATGCCAGCTACTGCCATGAAAGGAAGGAAAGCATGTCTATTTGTAAAGAAGCAAAAAAATGTCTTTAACTTACCCAGAGCACAAGGACATTCAAGAGATGGTCCATGTGTGTCCGCTTAAAGGTAGACTTTCCACAGTTCTGCATTAATTTGGTGTCTGGTCCTAAGTGAAACAGGGAGACCAGCTCTTAGAATCATTGAATATACTCAGAGGATTGAAAATGGATTGAAATATACATTTATGATCACCTAATCAAACCTCTCACCAATGGCAGGGGATAATATAGGTTTGGAGAAAGGCTTGCAGTTGGTGCCAATAACTAAAAAAATGCACATTTTGTTTCTAAGGATAATCCCAACTATTTCTGCAAAATACATCAATGTTGACCCCTTTTTTTGCAGCACCTTAGGCAGTCTAATCTTCCATAGATGGGTTAAGGCAGAATAGGAGCCCCAGGTTTTTTTGTTGTTTAAGTTTTAATTTTAATTCCAATAACTTAACAAGCAGTGTTATATTAATTTCGGGTGTACAATACAGTAATTCAACACCAGGAGCCACAAACTTATCATCATCATCATCTGGTTTATTTAGCTTAGAAAAGAGATTTTTTGATAAGGAGCTCTCCACCTTCTTTTGATGAAACCCTCTACTGGGCCAGCTTCTATTTCAAGTTTCTAATTGGGAAAGGAAGAACAGAAAAGGCAATGGCAGTGATTTCTTCTGAGGTGGAAGTTGGGGCTTTTCTGGGCTGAGAAAGACTGTATTTCTTCAGAATAGGCAGATGGTAAGTAGAAGTAAAGAGTTTTAGTGGCCAATGGGACTACAGTTGGGTATTACTGACCAGAAATATGGCTGCACATAAAACATAAGAGGTTTAGAAGAAAGTATAAGCAGCAATTTCTCTGGTTTTTACCACCTGATTGTTATTTTTACATGTACTCTAATAAAGGAATTTCATTAATGTTTATAGATGAGGGAGCTGGAACTTCCCTAATAATGTGGGCAGACACTGAGAATACAGGGCATAAGCTAAGGTATTTCATGAAGGGCCTGAAGTCATGAGAAGTTTGTCTCAGAGCCTGGAAGCTACAAGGAACAGGATCTTCCAAGGGTCCTTAGAAAGAATGACCCTACCTCATGTTTCAAGAAGGATGTGGAGATCACGGTAGAACCTGGGAATCATGTAGCAGGAACAGCAACTAAATTCTGCACTGAATACTTCAAGATGTTCTTTTTTTTTTTCTTTTTTTAAAAGATTTTCTTTATTTATTTGACAGAGACAGAGAGAGAGAGAGAAATCACAAGTAGGCAGAGAAACAGGCAGAAGGGGAGGGAGAAGCAGCCCCCCTGCTGAACAGAGAGCCTGATGCGGGGCTCAATGTGGGGCTCAATCTCAGGACCCTGAAATCATGACCTGAGCCAAAGGCAGAGGCCCAACCCACTGAGCCACCCAGGCACCCCTTCAAGATGTTCTTAAGTGTTATCAGTTCTCCTTTGCTCTCAGTTTCCCAAAGCTCCAAGAGACTTTTCACTAACATTTAAACAAAGAGTCAATTTTTGGTTTGCGCTAAATTTGTGTTGGTTGGCAACCTCACGGCCATTGCTTTAGAGAGAAACCCTTTGCTGAAAAAATGAGCTTTTTCTGAATGGTGATTTGTAGGAGTAGCTGCTGAAGTACAGTGAAGAAAATAAGTGTACTTCAAATCTTTTGAGTTTGGAGTTAGTCAGCCTAGAAGCTGTCACTATAACTCAAGAACTAATGAAAAAACTTCCACCAAGGCCTCCCTAGACTCTCAAGCTTCTCTCTAGGGTTTGGATCTCATTATTTTCTGTAAAAGTGAGACATCTAAGATCCCCCTGTCTAAGGGTGAATTCTTTAGAAGGGGAGCTATAAGTTGAATATTCACCGTGGTAAATCTTCCTTGATGCTTTCTTCAGTGTTCGCCATCCTTTTACTATGGTTGTTGTCATCAATGCCCATTGTCACCAATGCCCATTATCCCTAAGGGCACAGGGTGGCGCAGAAGCTTCCTCCATCTTGCCAAACACATTATAATCCACCAAAAACCTTCACCAGGTATAAGGGATTATGGTTCTAAATGACATCTGAGGAGGGGCCACTGCTAATGATTCACATGTGCCTTTTCTGTGGCTTGAATCCTCACATTTTGTATTCTTCTCCATAGTGAGCACCGTGTGTATTCTCTCCTGGGAGTAATCCACATATATACACTCTTTTTTCATATGTTCCCCTCTCACATGGTAATTTCATGTGTACTCTTTCTATATGTTAACCTTCTCCTGTGTCCAGATATGATTAGAAAGACTCATAAGTGCCTTATGGTATTAGAACACAAAGACTTCCTTTAAAAAGGCAGAGCTGATAATGTTGGTAGCTCATTTCTTGGGGGGGGTGTCTTTTTTTTTTCTTTTTCTAAGAAGAAAGGTTTTTCTTAAATAGTCCATCCACTCATCTACCCATTTATCTACCTCCCTTTCTGTTTGTCTCAAAGCCATGGTGTATGTACATCTGAGTCCCATATTTACATCCTGGAAACTGAGTGCTCATAAATTGATCATGAATGGAGTATAGCAGATTGGGGTCTGACCGTGACTCTCAGGAGACGTACCAGTGTAAATCACCAAGCCATAGCACCAATCTGTATTCCTGATGATGCAGCCTCGGAGTAGCAGCTTGTCATGGTCCAGGGTGTAGTTTTTTCCCTTAAAAGTCAGTATTCCTGTGAATTTGTCCAACTTGTTATTGGGAGACTCACACCTCACTTTTCCTGAAGAAAAATGAAGGAGTAAGAGTCCAGGCTCTGTAATCTTAGGCCTTTCCTAACAGCAGGCTTAATAGAAAAGAGGAAAGAATACCTCTCTTTCAAAATATATACACATCTTTTTCCTATCCTCTCTCAGCTGCTGCCCACTTCTCACTAGCTTCCTTTAGAAAGGCAGACAAAGATTTCTGGGCACCAAAGATGAGTAATTCTGTATGTGACATGGGTCATCCAGAGAGAGAAAAACCCACGTGATAATTTATCACCATCAGTACTGACAGATCATATGATCTCTGAATCTGAAGAAATTAAAAACTACTTAAAGCAAATCTAGTATTTTTCTCAAAGTGGAAATAATTTGGTTTTTTTCCTGGTTACTGAAGTAATATATGTCTTTTGTAAATACATATACAATACTAAGGAGGAGAAAGGAGAAAGTAAAATTGCCTGGAGATAAGTGCTATTATTCTTTTGAAGTACTTCCTTCCAAGTTTTCTATAGATGTACTTGTAAACATATATGCTTCCAAAAACAAGCTTATGTTATTTATTTATTTAAGATTTTATTTTTTTACTTGACAGACAGAGATCACAAGCAGGCAGAGAGGCAGGCAGAGAGAGAGACAGAGGAAGAAGCAGTCTCCCTGCTGAGCAGAGAGCCCCAATGTGATGCCATGCAATGCAGGGCTCAATCCCAGGACCCTGAGATCATGACCTGGGCTGAAGGCAGAGGCTTTAACCCACTGAGCCACCCAGGCGCCCCAACAAGCTTATGTTATATACACTATGCAGAGTTGACTCTTTAATAGTTTTTTTTTCACTTAATGATATGTTCTGAATATTTTTTTCCATGTAAAAAATATCAACTTGCATATTGTTCTTAGTAAGTTATGAAGTTAGTTAAGTTACTGTACTTTATTTAACCAGTCCTCTACTGATAAACATGTTGGGGGGGCAAACCTACTTCCTAACTCACCATCAAAAGCAGACAGCAGCCCCAGGTTATCTTCCAAGTTACTGGTAACTGAGATGGACTGCTTCACTTTCAGGTTGGTTTCACTAAAGCAAATGGCACAGAGTCACCAAAGCACAGGACACATGCACAACAGCAGCAGGGGTCCAGTTTCTCCCACTTGGTCATGGGATTTTAGAATACAGATACTGCCAGTAAAGCTTGGGCTACAGGTTTGAGCTGTAAGAGTCACACCTACTGTTCTCTCTCAAGGTCAGTATTGAGGTAGATGGCTCCACAAGGAAGCCAAGTGTTAGCCCACTCAGTCCCCTCTCCCTGCTCTCATTCCGTGCAACACACCACCTCTACTTCAACCAATCCATGAAATCTTGCTGATCAGGCTCTTGATCAAGCTGAAGAGACATCACAAAACAACCTGAAGGTGGCACCTGCTCCCTTCAAGAATAAGGAGCAGGTCTTGGTAAGACTGCTGCACACTTCCAAGTAAACATACTCCTCATATCATAAATAGTTATAGGACATATGAAGGAATCCCAGTTAACCATTTGTTGATACAGGAATGCATAGAGACAGAAACAAAAATGGAAGCCACATTTCAAAAAGCTTGTGAGTACCAAGAGGAATAGTTGTAAGAATGCAATCGATAGAAAACCCTATAGGACAAGCTCTCTGAAGATGGCCTCTATCTTCCTAAGACCTTAGCTTTTGCATGTTAATTAATCTCTACCTTAAATCCTTTATAGAACACGGTATTTTATCAGTAAATAATTGCTCCCATGCTCATCCTCCCCACCCCCTTAACTCCCACTGGAAACTTCGGAACTCTTAAAAAAAAAATTCTGAAATTTTACAGTTCTATTCACCTCTTTCCTATCACTCAGCATTACTGAATATAGCCAGAGTGTCTCCAGTTTAGAGATGGAAAATATAGAGTTTATTTGTTCAGATGCTTGATTATTGCTGTTAGGAGCTCAGTCTTAGACTTGAGGTCCCAAGGGCCTGGCCTCCTCTTTTCACTTATCTGGATATTTCTAGCATCTTTGGCACTTCCATCTGAGAATAAAATTCATTCTCTGCATCATGCTCTCCCTCAGTGAGATATTAAGGTGGCTCAATTGTCTTAAATGACTATCAGGAAGGGACACTTACCCATCCAGTTCTGCTGTTTCTATATATGTCAGACCATAGGGCTCACTGCTAGAGAGTAATAGCACATCAGCCTGTGGTCAGAAAAGTCAGAGAAGGTAAGGAAAGCAGGAAGGCAGACTTTTAATATTACAGTGTGACAAAAGCAATTACCTCATGAACAGATATTCATCCTAAAATTTTTATAGATACTTGGTTTTTTCTCTTTGTCTAGGACCCACTGCTGCTACCACACACAGCCCCCCCCCCCCCCCACCAAAACAAGTCATTCTTTATCTGTAGCTATGGTGAGAGACAGACAAAAACAAGCTTCTTACCACAGGAGCTGTTAATCTCTGGATGCAAAGTGAGGCAGACAGAGGTCACCAAAAGCAGTGGCCGCATCAGTGCTAAAAGTGTTCCTTTGTACTCACTCAAGTCAAAAAAGAAAAAGCCACAGCCCAAAGAGGTACTCACCGTGACAGGCTGATTATTTTTTAGTTTTATTATATCTCCCACTTGAATATTCATCCATTTGTCTTCCTTTATCCTGTAAGAAAATGAGCCCTGAATGCCTGCTCTGAGAATTTCTCCACAGCCCTTCTTTGACAATCAAGAAAAGAAATAAAAAAGAGAAAGAAAAAGGCTGAGATGGAGTCAAGACTTACAGGAGAACCAAACTGGTTTGTGATGAATCCTTGCTATAATCAAGAATGGGGCCCATTTCTCTTGACTTCAGGTTATAACGATTTTCTAAAACTCTATAAAAGCACTTGTAGTCATATGCACACATAATTATTCTTTCACTAAAAGGAATATGCATACTGTAAATATGCATATATGCATATGGTAAAAAATAGTTCAACTAATACAGAAGTATATAAAAGGAAAAATTCTCCTCTCTCCCCTGATTTTAGTTCTGCTTTTCAAGGTAGCAACTGTAATTTTTTGTATTCCTTTCTAGAAAATATCAATCCAGTAATACAACACATACATTTAAAAGTTACACACTAGATACATAATTTGCTACACTTTGCATTTTTTATGTCTTGCAGAGCACTTATAGAAGATGTGCCTCACTATTTTTTTTGGCTCACTATTTTTGATAAAAATGTATTCTATCATACAGCTGTACCAATTTTATTTACTTATGTTAAAATTGGATTGTTTTATTTTTTATTTTTTTTTTAAAGATTTTATTTATTTATTTAACACACAGAGAGAGGAATCACAAGTAGGCAAGAGAGGCAGGCAGACAGAGAGTGGGAAGCAGGCTCTCTGCTGAGCAGAGAGACCGACGCGGGACTCGATCCCAGGATGCTGAGATGATGACCTGAGCCAAAGGCAGAGGCTTAACCCACTGAGCCACCCAGGAGCCCTATTTAAAAAAAAAATTTTTTTTAAGATTTTATTTATTTATTTGACAGAGAGAGACAGCAGGAGAGGGAACACAAGCAGGGGGAGTGGGAGAGGGAGAAGCAGGCCTCTCACTGAGCAGGGAGCCTGATGTGGACCCTGGGATCACGACCTGAGCTGAAGGCAGCTGCTTAACAACTGAGCCACCCAGGCGCCCCTGGATTACTTTTTAAAAAAAATTCAAGGTAGTTAACATATAGTGTATTATTAGTTTCAGGGTAGAGTTTAGTGATTCATCAGTTGCATATAATGCTCAGGGCTTATTATATCAAGTTTCCTTAAAATTGGATTACCTTTGACCCCTCAAATCCTCACTTCCTACAAAAGGCAGATGGCAATAGGAGCAGATTCTACAGTAGTAACTGGCTCTCTCCCTTTCTCTTTTTTGTATCTCAATTTCCCTAAATGCACAGAGGCCCTAAATCTTTCTGAGAAAGAACTAAGCAAGATAGACACAGTGCCGTGAGCATTTTGGAAATACGAGCTACCTCTTTGCAACAATTCTGTTATGCTAAGCACCCAAAGATGTGGCAAAGAGAAGGCATACCTGGATGCCATTGCTTGTTTCACCTTCAAATGAAGCCTTGTTATCTGTAGGCATGACATACATCACAACTTTGCCAGACACACAAAGGCATGGGTTTTCTCAGAATGCCTTTTCTGGGAAGATAACTTCTTTAAGAAGGGCCAAATTTCTTTTATCCAAAAAAAAAAAAAAAAAAAATCTTTTATATAAATTCATTCTTTCTTTTAGACAATTTTCTTCCAATTCCTGGGTTATATTTCTTTAAATCTTTTTACAAATTCAATTTTCTCTGCCTGTTATTATTTTTAACAATATTATTTATTTATTTTTGTGGGGGAAGAGCAGAGGGAGAGGGAGAGGGAGAGAAAGTCTTACGCACTCGCACAACCCTGAGACCGTGAACAGAGCCAAAACCAAGAGCTGGAGGCCCAACCAACTTTGCCACCCCTCTCTGCATGTTACAACACAAATGTAAGACTTTGTTGTAAAACCACTATTTATACATCCTCCTTCCCTTGGTTTCAAGTGTCATCTTTACACAGATAAAATCCAATACCTTTACTTATTTTGTTACTAATTTTCGAATCTGCTTTATAGTTTTGTAAGGGAGTAGCTACAAGACTTGCAGAAAAACATCTGAATAACTGTTTTGCTTTGTTTTGATGCCACATTCACTTTTGCTAGTTCTCTGGCATTCTGTCTGCCATGATTTTCACCAGTAAAATGTGGCAAGAAGGGCTACACCATTTGGGTTTCTCCAAAAGATTTAACAGCTTATATTTTATTACATAGGAGCTTCAAACTATTACCAATTTTTTTTCCTGGACATTGTAACAATCATGTGTCCCAAATTTAGGAGAAGGAAAGATACTGCCTTCCAGTTTAAAATATTAAATCCTGTTATGCCCTAAGAATACTTTCCGGGCATTGCATTCTAACTTTTGGTTTAGAAAACACAACCCGAGAGCTAGAGAAGGCAGGGGTTTGACTCCAGAGGAGACCATTCACATTACAGTCTCTTTTTTTTGTGAATGGTACCTCCTGAAGTTCTGTGACATAATGGTACCTTTTCTACTACCAACATTTAGAAATGCTAGATATGCTAAGGCAAACATTCTTTCAAAAGTAAGGCTACGCTTACCACAAAGTAAGGAACCAGGAGAAACAAAACAAGGATCTCAAATCCAAAACAGTCAGCATGTTCTGAAGCTGTTCTTGCTCTGAGTGAAGGAAGGAATTGCCAATCTTAATAATTAGTGACTTGAATTTTCATTTAGCCCACTGATGGACAGGACATGAAGCCTTAGGATCTTGAGAGGCAATGAGTTGGAACTAAGAACCCCTCATAAAGCCAGGACTCTGAAAGGGCAACACCTTTAGGGAAAGGGTAGTCTAAAAAAAATTCAAGCCATTGGCAAGAAAGTTTGTCTGTCTTACTCAGGAGGGTTGAGCGTCAGACAGTAGAGAACTCCCCCTTAAGAATGTATAGACTAATGAGGTATGGGATTCAAATTTATAACTCCTCAAATTGGTCTCAGTAGGTGATATCCTTGAGTTATGTGGCAGAAGGAAACATACAACCCTCAAAAGGGATACAATCTCAACTCAGAAGATTTAGAATTCTTATAAAGAAAATTCTACTAATGATGTGCTTGTAACCAAAATTATTGAGAAATGAAAATGGCAGAAATCACAACTTGCAAAACAGACAAATTTTTCAATAGCAGTTCTATTCAAAACTATGTATTCTAGAAAAAGAAAGCCACTTTCTGGAATATAGACTGTTTGAACAACCAGCTTCACTGAGTGTTCAATTAAACACTGGCTTATAAAAACTAACCAGGGCCCTACTTGTGACCTCCCACCCTAAAACCACTCTATGACAGATTCTTTTTAGTCTTTCTTTTAGTCTTTTTTTTTTTTTTTAAAGATTTTATTTATTTATTTGACACAGAGAGAGACAGGAAGAGAGGGAACACAAGCAGGGGAAGTGGGAGAGAGAGAGAAGCAGGCTTCCTGCTGAGCAGGGAGCCCAATGCAGGGTTGGATCCCAGGACCTGGGGGATCACGACCTGAGTGGAAGGCATACTCTTAATGACTGAGCCACCCAGGTGCCCCTCCAATAGTCTTTCAAAACCCAAGTGCCCAAACTACTTGAGGAGTTCATTTGACTAAATCCATTTGGTCAGTAATTCCCTAGCCCTGAAAATTTCTAAGACACTGAGTTTTGTCTTTTCTTTTCTTTTTCTTTTTATTTCCTTTCTTCCTTTCTTTTAAATTTTCTTTTTAATCACAACTGACTTTTCTGGTGGTGTCTTATGAGAGGCTTCGACAGACCAAAACACTTGAGGAAATAATCAATAATCCACCAGGAATAAGAATGAGCTGTAACAATAAATACAGGATTAGATACCCAAGAACTTCACGTAGAAGAATTGTGTGATTAAAACTACAGCTCCAATCTTTAAAAAAAAAAAAAATGGGGCACCTGGGTGGCTCAGTGGGTTAAGCCGCTGCCTTCGGCTCAGGTCATGATCTCAAAGTCCTGGGATCGAGCCCCGCATCAGGCTCTCTGCTCAGCAGGGGGCCTGCTTCCTCCTTTCTCTCTGCCTGCATGTGATCTCTCTCTGTCAAATAAATAAATAAAATCTTTAAAAAAAAAACAAAAAAACTACAGCTCCTGGGGGTTCTGTAAGGCCACTGTGAACAAAGACTGGACTTCAATTTTGAAATTCTTCATGTTCGTGCTTATTTACAATCATGTTACTACACACACTCATCATTTTTTCCTGTTTTACAATCTCTATTTGTTGAATTCTTCCCATTCCTTAAGGCCTAGCACAGACATTAGCTCTTCCAGAAAGTCTTCCTTGACTCCTTTAACCAGTTATGATCCCTCATTTTTATTAATTCTTATAATAATTTTTTATCTTTTATGATAGTCTCCATATTTTGTTTTATGTAGGAATTATGTCTGCCTCCGTATATTCCTGACAAAGTAAATTGCTTAAATTTTGTAGGACATCATCAAATATAAACACAGACTCATTGACAACACTTTAGACAGTTATCACCAAACACCACAGCAATAGGGTCAACACCAATACTTTATTTTTATTATTTTTTTTTAGCCAATACTTTCTTTAGATTGTTAATGAAGATATGACCTGATCAAAGGTTATATAGTATAATGGCCAATAAGCCATGCCAGAATCTAATGATGTTCTAAAGACACATATCTCCATGCTGACAACTACACTAATAATAATCACTTGTATGTCATAAATTGCTAAATACCTTAATATATATTATTTCATTTTCATTTTTGCAATATCCTCCAAGGTACAGAATATTATCTTCCTTTATAGATAAGAAATATGAGGCCCAGAGAGATCTGAGGTCACACAGCAAATTCAGTGTATGCTAGATCTAGAAACAAATTCTTATGTTCAACCTTAGGTTCTTTTCACTGTTCTGAATTACTTTCCAAAGTACCCAACACCATCAAGCTTTAGCAAAGACAACCCTTTCCCAGAACTGAGCTACCTAAACTGGTTTCCCTATGACTTACCTGCCATTCATCACCACCAGAACAGAACGGTTGTTGACGTGATTGTCATTTTGATGCCTTTTCTAAAATTACACAAGAAAATGTTCAGGAAATAGGCATAGAGCAAACTGCATGTGGAAGTTTAGTATTCTGAAATACTACCCAAGGTAGTACTCCTTATTTATAATTCTCCTTTACCTCCTAAGCCTTTCTATCATTAAAACCAGGGTAAGAGGTTGATTGTCTCAGAGAAGCTGGGAAAAAAGGTCAGAAAAAGAAGAGAAAAGAAAGAGACAAAATCTTGGCTTTAAATATCAAAAGCCAAAGCCTGGGGGAATGAGAACAAACATCTTAGTTAAAGCCACAGAGGAGAGAATGAAAACTGATGGATAGGACCAGAGTCCCTGTGAACACCTTGGTAGGAGCAGGGAAAAGTTAAGAATTCTCAAGCATACCTCCACTACAGTCAACACAAAGAAGCTTCTACAGGATATGCACTAAGGAAAGAGCAACAGAGGTCTTCTATTCAAAAACCAAATAGAAGTGTATGTCCTGATGCTCCCATGAATCTTCTACTTCCAGGTGAGATTACTCCCTGGGAGAAAGGCAGGACTATGAAGAGGACAGGGAGAATCTTGAATTTGTCAGCATGCTTATGCTAAAAAAAGTAAATTCTAACCCAGAAGTAACTGGGTTACCTTGAATTGGCAAATTTAGTTTTCAGCTCTCATTAAAAAGGTTTGGAATGGTGGGGTGGTAGTTGTGAGATATACTGAGTTTAGCTGTAGAGAAATAAAGTCACATTTTGTACATTTGAGTTTTGACTAAAATTTCACTACATGGCTAATTATGGATTTAAAAGAGTTGCAGAGTTAAAAAGCTAGCGTAACATCAAGCTCACAAACTTTGGTCTAAAAATCTATCCTGGCAAAATCAGAAGGACTCTCTTAGGGAAGCTGGAGGCAGGTCAAGAGGTCTGACTTCCCAAATCCCACTAGCAGACTTGGTACTGGGGCTTCAATCTCACCGTTCTATGCCAGGCCTGCTGTAAGGAGCAAGGAGGATGCCAAGCAGCTCACTGTGAGCCAGTTTCTCCCTCCAAGACCAGGAAAGGAACTGGCCTCTGTTTATGTCCTAAGGAGTTCTAAACCCAGAGGGTTCCTAGCTGTATATACCTTACAGAAGTGAAAGTTGGAATGGGAAGTAGGGAGAGCTAGAGAGGAGAAGGGGAATGTGGAAATGGGAGGAGAAAACTAAGAACAGAACAAAGAGGGAGGAGGGGACAGAGGGAGGAAGGGAACAGGAATTAAAAAAGGGAGAAGGAAGAAGATGAGCACAAACTTGAAGAAAGCCAAGTGAGGGAAGAGGTGGGTTATTAAAAAGGAGCTGGAAGAAAGCCTGAAAGGGGGCTAAATGGTGGCAGAGGAAGACAGAGAGAGGTCTTGCACTGCCACTTTCTGGCCATGCATAGACCACCAATCTTGAGGCTAAGGGAATTACATTTTCTTCTGGGATGGATAAGGAAGCAAGGAAAGGAAACATCTCTTTCCATTCAGTGCTTCTTCCTTGCACTAGGTAATTCTGGGAAGCATTTTTTTGCCCCCCAACCCAACTAGGTACAGTGAAAGACTAGGAGCCCAAAAAGCCACTTCACCACATCATCGATGGCATCCTTCACTGCTGTTATTGATAGCACCACCATCAGGGGTATCACAGTCGTGTACCAGGCCAAGGGGGAGATCTGGGGAATCAACTGTGAGAGGAAAAAGGAAGAAACTTGGCTCAGAAAGCTTAAAGGACAATATATTTCCTACCAGCACCACCCACCCCCAAACTCTTTCACTTCCACAGGTTCATAAAAAATTCAACTATCCTAGTTGCTTTCCACTGTTTTGGAAATATAAGTATTATAAGTAAATATATAATACAGATATAAATATTTTGTAAACATCACCAAGAAAAAAAAAAAGAGGAAAAAAAATCACCAAGAAAGGACAAAAGAATAGAAGTCAGTAAGTTGCCAGCTATCTGTCCCAAATCCACTACAATAGTCTTTTTTTTTTTCCTCCATTACAATAGTCTTGATGGGCTATTTCTCCTCTGATGATGAAGGTTCTGGTGAGAGGTAAGGGGAACTGGGAGAGAAGAGTGGACATTGGAAAACCACATCCCCTCCTTTATCCCTCAACATAATGGGAAAAGAGACAATCTGTTCCTCTCTCCCAATATGGTCCAGAACTGCCCTGCTTCCTCGCCCTGTGGAGGTACTCGTATGTTCTAAACCATTCTTTTTCTCAGAATTCCTGCATGTTAACTTTCTGTCAGGAAGGCTGGGAATGAATGAGAAATGGGAGTTGTAGTTGTGGTCGGGCTGAAGAGTATGTGACCTCCTGTGGTCAAGCTGAACTGTGGCCATACAGGCATGGTGAGGGAGCTCTCCTTCCTGGGATTCAGTGATCTTGTGTCCTTCCTTTTGTAGAGACTTATTTCATCCCACCTAATTCTGACCACAGGTACTCTATAGGATTGCCCAGACACTCCAGGCCAACCATTTGCCTGTTATTTAAAGAGACATTTCTCAGTTTAGGGAGAAGAACGGATTACGAAACCAGATCCCAGAGATAGTGATAAAATGCTCTGTGGAAAAGATTCCAAAAGTTAATACCTGTAGGAATAGCAAAATGAGGAAATATGCATTTGCAAGTCTCTGGAATTGTTCAAACAGATTCAGGGGCAAGAAGTTAAAGACACTGTATCTTGAGGTCTTGATGGTATTGTTCTGTGAGTAAAAGAAAACAAGCACAATTAGAGGAACAAAAGACCCCACCTCCCAGTTTTAACAAAAAGCACCAAGACCACTCCTTGAAACAGAAAAAGTCTTAGTTCTTCTACCATGGGGTGAGGGGGAGGGAGGGAAGAAGTGTTTGTCTCCCACTTTTCTTGGAGACCTAGAGAATGCAAAGAAGGTAAGTCTGATCAATATGGGACTTTTTTGAGGCATGGAATTCTTTGTTTATTGATGTTACTAATAATAATGATGGGGCGCCTGGGTGGCTCAGTGGGTTAAGCCTCTGCCTTCGGCTCAGGTCATGATCCCAGGGTCCTGGGATGGAGCCCCACATCAGGCTCTCTGCTCAGCAGGGAGCCTGCTTCCCCCTCCCCCTCTGCCTGCCTCTCTGCCTACTTGTGATCTGTCAAATAAATAAATAAAATCTTTAAAAAAAAAAAGAAAAAATGATAATAAAATCAACAATAAAAGCTTACATTTATTGAATACTTACTACATGCAAGGCACTGTTCTAAGCATTTTATATGTAGCAGCTTATTTATTCCTCACAATAACCCTATGAGGAGAGGACTGTATGATCACTTTTTGAGGATGAGGAAATTGAGGCACTGAGGTTATTTGCCAAAGATCACACAATCAGTTGCAGAGTTGGTACTGTGCTGTCCCCTGAGCCCCAGTTCACTTGTATAGCTATCCAAATGCCTTCTTTTCATAGATTCAGAGATCCTTCAGTGTCATCTTACCTCACCCACTAGTCCTTCTCAGCCCTAAATAGTAGGCAAGTCTGCCATTTATATTAGCTCTACTCCAGAGCTCTCAAATGAAGTTTTTCTAAGCCTGGCAAATTCAGTTTGGTGTACCTTTATGTACTGTTTTCAATGCTGAAGGATATCAGGTGCCAAAAGCAAATTACTCTTTCAAGTTGAGCCCACTGAAGATTCCCATACTGATCCCTGTCAGCATTGGGAAGTCACTTGCCTTTTAACTGTCCTGACAGCCTGAATAGTTTTGGTTTACATGTGAGTTAGGATTTTGCTGAGTGAAAATGGGAACTTGCTACCTCTTCAATTCTGACTTCAAGATGTTGACAGGATCATCTTATTTTCTACCTTTGGGTCTTCGATCATTTGGCTTAAGATGTCAGAGCTTGAATGTAAGAGCTCAAGAAAAGCAAAAGAATAACAATTTTAACCAAACAATTTCCCTAAAGACAGGCTTCTCCCCTACCTCCTCCATCTAGAAGGCCAAAACAAGAGAAAAAATCCACATGCAGTCCTGGAGTATAAATATTGCTCAAGTATGAAGAATCTTGCTGGACTCTGCCTTGGGAAAGCATCAGAGACCTTCTTTTGGAAAACCAAAACCATTCAGTCCTAAGTCTAAAACTTGCCCAGGAAGGCTAGATAGGCTCTTCGGTCAAGACATGTCTTTCTATTTTCCTAAGGAAGAAAAGCTAGTCATAGACCTTAGGAGTTTAGAGATCCAAGTTACAACTAAGATTTCCTTGGTGTTTTCTCTATGATTTTCTAGTTTGTAGTCAATCAAACACTATAGATTTCTCAAGGCTTCTTCTGTTCATAGCCCTATTCTGGGCTATACTAGTAGAGGCTGAAAAAAATTAAACAATATCTATCCCAGAGAAGCTCATAGGTCTGTCTTGAATGAAGTTCTAACTAAATGATTTCTATTAGCCATTCTAACCCTGAGAAAATGTTCTTCTAACATAGAAATAGCTTTCTTTGATCATGAGATACTCTAAATTTTTCAGTGTCTAAGTACAGAAGGTTCTGAAACTTGGAACCAAAGACCTTTTCTGATCTTCAGCCTTACTGAAGTAGCAAGCCTTCACTACTGATTTTCCATTTGATTTTATAACTAATTATCGTATTTCAGGTTTCTACCCACTTGGTAGCATTTGTTTAGTAAACAAAGACAAAAGCCTTGCGGATTCTACATCAAGACAGAAATATCAGTATTTCTTTACTAACTTGGCAACCAGAGTGCTCTGTTCTATGTCAAACCAGAAGGAATATCTAAAGAATGTAGAACATCTGTTTAACTATGAATTTCTTCGGTGTTCAGTTCTTTTTTGGCAGAGGTGACAAAATTTAAGCATGATAGAGGTGGTGGATTTTGGTTTGGGCTGTTTATTTAGGTAGTAAAACCTGACTGTTGGCTAAATGAGGGAATAGAGGAGAACATAAGGCCAAGGCCACAATGGGAATCAGAAGTTAGAGGCTGAGAAGAAGAAAAGGAATACGACTGGAAAAGAGTAGAGAACAGGAGAAAAATCAGTAATTGTCCATGGATATGAAATTGTTGTTAAATACATAAGAAAAGGTATTTATTCAGTAAATTTATCAAATGCCATTTTATGTGCCAAATATTGTGATGCAAACTGTGGATACAGAGATGAATGAAACTTGTACTCTTTCCTCAAGAAGCAATAGTTTCTTGCAGAAAGAGAGATAGTATTATTCACAACTATGTCTAACTCCCACAAGCACCATGTAAGGTGAATTAGGCCTTTTTCACAGATGAGGAAACTCAAGAACAAAAAGGTTAAAAAACATAAATAAAGATGCAAAGTTAGTAAGGAGTAGAGCTGTGCTCAAACTCAGGTCTGTCTGATGTCAAAATCTAGTTTTATTGCATTATAATGTCTCTCATATATGTCTAGAAGATAGAAAGGGGGAAAGAAAATCTGCTCCCATGGCCATACCCTGAACACTGTTACTATCCAGAACCTCCCTAACTCAGAAATCATAAACTAATGTAGTCCTACAGAGACTACAAATATGTATGGCTATATATGTATTTATATACCTACAGCTATAGATAGATAGATAAATAGATAGATAGATAGATATAGCTGTACATGCACAAAATAACATGTATAAAAACATTGCTTGTAACTGTAAATGACTAGAAACAACCCAAATGTCAATTTTGAGAAACTGGTTACATAAACTATGCTAAATCTACATAAGAAATACTATGCAGGTGAAAAAAGAAAAGAAGGAAAAAGTTATTATGAAAACATCTCCAGGATATCTGTAAAGCTTCTGAACAGTTTAAGAAAGCGGCTTTGCTTTATTTACACAAAGAAGCACTGACGAATATACAAGAAAGTAAAATGAAGAGTTCTCTACAGGGAGCAGCGGTGGGCAAGGATAAGTGCTGGAGTATGAATTTGAAATATATATCTCTTTATGAGTTATTAATAAGTAAGTGAAAAATGAGCAACCTAATAGAAAATGGGCAAAGAGGTAGTTTCCATAAAAAGAAATACAAAAGGTTAATTAGCATGAAAAGATTACTGAACTCACCTGAAATTAAGAAAGGATAGATAACAAAACATCATTTTTCATTCAAGAGCCCGGCAAAGATGAAAAAGATTGATAATACCTAGTCTGGCAGCAATATGGAAAAATGAGCAGTCTCTACTATAAGTGGAAATATAAGTAGATATAATCTTTTTAGAGGGAAGTCTGGCAATATGCATCACAATTTTTAATGTGTTTTTCCTTTGACCCAGCCAATTCACTTCTAGGAAATTTTCATAAGATATATTCACACAAGGGGTGCCTGGGTAGCTCAGTCGGTTAAGCGTCCAACTCTTGGTCTATGCTCAGGTCATGATCTCAGGGTCCTGAGATAGAACCCTGCCTTGGGCTCCCCGCTCAGCAGGGAGTCTGCTTCCTCTCCTCTCTCCTTCTGCCCCCTCCTCCTGCTCTTGCACTTTCTCTCTCTAAAACAAAAATGTCTTTTAAAAAAAGATATATTCACACAAATGTGACAGAATTTATGATTAATGGTGTTCATTCAGAACCCTTTATCATAGCAAAACACTGGGGACTATTTTTTTAGAGGGGACACCTGGATATGAATGGAGGCATTTTATTTTTTTAAGGTTTATTTATTTATTTTAGAGAGAGAGAGAGTGTGTGTGTACATGAGCCAGGGGAGGGGCAGAGAAAGAGGGAGAGAGAAAATCTCAAGAAGACTCTGCCCTGATGTGGAGATCAGTCTCACCACCCTAAGATCATGACCTGAGCCAAAACCAAAAGTCAGACACTTAACTGACTGAGCCACCCAGGCACCCCTGAATGGACACATTTTAAATGTTCATCAATAGGAGACTGGTAAAATAAATTAAGGTATATTGAAAACAGTGAAAAACCATTCCACTGTTAGATCTGTGTATTATTATAGATCTCCAATTGGAAAAAAAGACTGTTGAACTACGACTTCATTTGTGCAAGAAAAAGCTACAGTATTTCTTTTCTAGAAGTTATATATGAAACCCAAAATCTGAGATATATTCTCTCCTGAGCCTAGGTCACCAGAATTAATTTTGGTTTCTGAGCCCTCACTATACCAGCCCTCATTGTATAGGAGCTTGAAAGAAAGTAGAACCTATGTTGTAGGATCTACATCTGCAATGAATTACTGCCCTACTCACAAAGGGGAATATTAGAGGAGAATACTAACCCCCTGAAGTAACTAGAGGCCTGATACTCACGGGATATCCAAAGGTAGAGTTGAGTTCTCTGCTATTGGCTTGCAGATATCTCACTTGTTCTGAAAAAGAGGAAAGAAATGATGAGAAGGATAATTCTCTAATGATCAGCCTGGGATGCTGGCTGCTAGTGAAGACTTCACTAGATCTTCACACTTTCTCACTGAGGAGGATTATGTCTACAAATGGGACTTTTGTCTCTATTAGAAGAATCAAGAAATACAATAAAAATGGAAATCCTCAAGTGTTAAAACGTTCTGGAGGCAACAGGACCAGAAACTTTCGAGGTGTTTTTTACCGTGAATGTCTCTCAGTAATAATCCTAGGTGATGTCTCCACAGACAACAGGATGGCTATACCAACATCACTGCTAAACACAGAAACCCAGCCCTCTCCAATTAGTCAATCCCAAGACCTTATTTTAAGGTATTTGAGGTTCTTTCCAAGGCAGCTTTTCCTAAACTTACTTAATGAAATTTAAATCAATACATCATTATTAGGCAGCTATTGTACAGAGGCCAGTGTGTTTGATCTTGTGGGGGGATAAAAAGATGAGTAAGACACAGTCCCTGACTTCAAGGACCTGCAGTTTGGTAGTAGTGAGCCTGATAACTATAACACATGACAAAACCATCACATCAAAACACGTAAGTGTTATGAACTATTACAAACAGTGAGCCCAAGGCACCTGGGTGGCTCATTGGTTAAGCAATTGCTTTTAGCTCCGGTCATAATCTCAGGATACTGGGATTGACTCCCACATTTTGGCTCCCCCTGCTCTGTGGGGAGCCTGCTTCTCCTCTCCCACTGCCTGGCACTCACCCTGCTTGTGCTCTGTCAAATAAATAAAATATTGAAAAAAATAGTGACCCCATTATTGTGTTATGAAAATTTTTTTGTGTGTATTTCTAGCTTCTATTTTTATTTTTTTAAACATTTAAAATTTTAATTTAATTAACATATAATGTATTATTGAGGGGCTCCTGGGTGGCTCAGTGGGTTAAAGCCTCCGCCTTCAGCTCGGGTCATGATCCCAGGGTCCTGGGATCGAGCCCCGCGTCAGGCTCTCTGCTCAGCAGGGAGCCTGCTTCCCTTCCTCTCTCTGCCTGCCTTTCTGCCTACCTGTGATCTCTGTCTGTCAAATAAATAAATAAAATCTTTAAAAAAAACCATATAATGTATTATTGGTTTCAGAGATACAGGCCTATGCTTCATCAGTTTTATATAATACCCAATGCTCACTACATCACATACCCTTCTTAATGTCCATCACCCAGTTACCCCATCTCTCCACATCCCCTCCCTTCCAGCAACCCTCAGCTTTTATCCTATGATTAAGAGTCTCTTATGGTTTGTCTCCTTCTCTGGTTTAGTATTGCTTTCCTTTTTCCTCTTTTCCCCTATGATCCTCTGTTTTGTTTCTTAAATTCCACATACCAGTGAGATCATATGATAATTGTCTTTCTCTGATTGACTATTTCACTTGACATAATACCCTTTAGTTCCATCCACGTCATTGCAAATGGCAAGATTTCATTTTTTGATGGCTGTGTAATATTCCATTGTATGTATATACCACATCTTCTTTATCCACTCATCTGTCAGTGGACATCTGGACTCCTTCCATAATTTAGCTCTTGTGGACATTGATGCTATAAACATTGGGGTGCAGGTGCCCCTTCTGGTCACAATATTTATATTCTTTGGATAAATACCTACTAGTGCAATTGCTAGATCAGAGGTTAGTTTATTTTTAACTTTTTGAGGAACCTCCATACTGTTTTCCAGAGTGGCCGCACCAGCTTGCATTCCTACCAAGAGTGTAAGAGGGTTCCCCTTTCTCTGCAACCTCACCAATATCCTTTGCCCTGAGTTGTTAATTTTAGCCATGGTGAGGTTGTATCTCATTGTGGTTTTGATTTGTATTTTCCTGATGATGACTGATGTAGAGCATTTTTTCATGTGTCTATTGGCCATCTGTATGTTTTCTTTCGAGAAATGTCTGTTCATCTCTTCCGCCCATTTCTTAACTGGATTTTTTTTTTTTTTTTGGCTGTTGAGTTTGATAAGTTCTTTATATAGTTAAGTATTAAGTATATGACAAGTCATTTGCAAATATCTCTCCTATCCTACAAGCTGCCTTTTAGTTTTGTTGACTGTTTTCTTTGCTGTGCAAGTATTTTTTATCCTGATTAAGTTCTAATAGTTCATTTTTGCTTTTTTTTCCCCTTGCCTTTGGAGAGGTGTCTAACAAGAAGTTGCTGTGGCTGAGGTCACAGAGGTTGCTGTCTGTGTTCTCCTCCAGGATTTTGATGGTTCCCTGTCTCACTTTTAGGTCTTTCATCCATTTTGAGTCTGTTTTTATGTATGGTATAAGGAAATGGTCCAGTTTCATTCTTCTACATGTGACTATCCAATTTTCCCAATACCATTTGTTGAAAAGACTGTCTTTTCTTATGTGAATATTTTTTCTTGCTTTGTTGAAGAAGATTAGTTGACCATAGAGTTGAGGGTCCATTTCTGGGATCTCCATTATGTTTCATTGATCTATGTGTGTGTGTGTTTGTGACAGTACCACATTGTCTTGATGATTACAGCTTTGTAATAGAGCTTGAAGTCTGGAATTGTGATGCCTCCAGCTTCGGTTTTCTTTTTCAACATTCCTTTGGCTATTTGGGGTCTTTTCCAGTTCTATACAAATTTTAGTTTGTTTGGTCCAGATCTGTGAAAAATGCTGATGTTATTTTAACAGGGATTGCACTGAATGTATAGATTGCTTTGGGTAGCATAAACATTTTAACAATATTTGTTCTTCCTAACCATGAGTTTTTCCATTTCTTTATGTCTTCCTCAATTTCTTTCATAAGTGTTCTATAGTTTTCAAAGTACAGATCCTTTACCTCTTTGGTTAGGTTTATTCCTAGATATCTTACGGGTTTTGATACAATTGCAAATGGGATTGATCCCTTGATTTTTCTTTCTTCTGTCTCATTGTTAGTGTATAGAAATCCAACTGACTTCTGTGCATTGATTCTATATCCTGTGACTTTGCTGAATTCCTGTATCAGTTCTAGCAAATTTTTGGTGGCGTTTTTTTGGGTTTTCTATATAGAGTATCATGTCGTCTGTGAAACATGAAAATTTGACCTCTTCTTTGCCAATCTGGATGCCTTTTCTTTTTCTTGTCTGATTGCTGAGGCTGTCTTCCAATACTTGTGCAACAACAGTGGGGAGAGCTGACATCCCTGCCGTGTTCCTGACCTTGGGGGAAAAGCTCTCAGTTTTTCCCCACTGAGGATGACATTTGGTGTGGGTCTTTCATATATGGCTTTTATGATATTGACGTATGTTCCCTCTACTCCTGCACAGTGGAGAGTTTTTATCAAGAAAGTATGATATATTTTGTCAAACGCCTTTTCTGCATCTATTGAGAGGATCATATGGTTCTTGTCCTTTATTAATGTGGTATATCACATTGATTGATTGATTTGCAAATGTTGAACCACCCCTGCAACCCAAGAATAAATTCCACTTGGTCATGGTGAATAATCCTTTTAATGTACTGTTGGATCCTATTAGCTAGTATCTTGGTAAGAATTTTTGCATCCATGTCTATCAGGGATATTGGTTTGTAATTCTTTTTAGTGGGATCTTTGCTTGGTTTTGTGATCAAGGTAATGCCAGCCTCATAGGATGAGTTTGGACATTTTCTTTCCATTTTTATTTTCTGGAAGAATTTCAGAAGAATAAGCATTAATTCTTCTTTAAATGTTTGGTAGAATTCCTCTGGGAAGCCTGGGAATCTGGCCCAGAACTCTTGTTAAAGGAAACTAGATTCCCCTCTCCCTCCTCAGGAGCTTTGTACTGTCACTTTGCCATCACTCAATAAACCTTACTTTGCTAAAGACAAAACAAAACAACACAAAACTTTGCTTTGCTGCCACAAAAAAAAAAAAAAGAAAGAAAGAAAAAAGAAAGAAAGAAAGAAAGAGAGAAAGAAACTAGGTTCCAAAATAAGACAGTAAAACTTACATATATATAAAAATAAAATATAATAAATTAAAAGGAAACAAAAATAAAAAATATTACATATAAAAATAATAATTAAAAAGGAATAAAAAAGAATTGAATAAATAAGAAAATAACTCCCAAAATAATACTATAAGACTAAAGAATAAAAATAAAAAGAATACCATACACTGTTTTCCCCAGGAGCTGAAACTTTGCAACCTTCTGTGATCAGTAAACTTGGTGTGATCCAGTTGTTTGTGCTGGTCTTCTGGCAGAGGGATCTGTTGCACTGATTCTCAGATGGACTCGCCCTATTGAAAACGTGCCTCCCTTGCACAGAGGCTGGGTTCACGTAAGCAAATCTGGATTCCACTATGTAGCACTGTTTTGCTCCTGAAGGCTTTCAGCACTGATGGGTGGGGTGAATATGGTGGCACCCCACTCTCTAGACCCAAGCTGGAAGTTTGCACCCCCCATTCTTCAGTGAGCCTTCACAGAAAAGCAATCAATCACTCTTGTCTCCCTGGTTTCCGTCAGAACTCTGTGTTCACCTGCCCTGTGACTGAGCTGTTTTTATCTCAGGCCTGTCACTAAATTTCAAAACCCCCAATTTTATGGATTCCTGTGGAGTAGACCTGCACTGTTCCTCCTGGGGGAGGGAGGAGGGTCTCACTACCTTCTGCCTTTTGCTGGACCCCTCCCAGGAAAGTGATTGTGCAACCATGTAACAGTTCACAGTTTATGGCAATGTAGAGCAGAAGGACAGCACCTAGACTTACTGTTTTCAGCCTGCTTCCCCACTCCTACAACTGTGAACTCTGCCCCACTAAGGCACGCCCCATTCTTCTTCTGACCCTGGGGTCCTGAGACAATGCTGTCACATCCTGGAATGTTTCACCACCTAAGCACCTTTAAGCCAGGACATCCCCACTGTAGCAGACTTCTAAGAGTTCCAATTCTGCACTCCACTGTTTATAATACTTTGCAGTAGCCTCTGTAAGCAGACTCCCTCCTCTCTGCCATATCCTCAGCTGTATCACCCCTGATTCAA